TATATATATATAGTGAGAAAAATAAGTATTTGAACACCCTGCGACTTTGCAACTTCTCCCACTTAGAAATCATGGAGGGGTCTGAAATGTTCATCTTAGGTGCATGTCCAATGTGAGAGACAAAATCTAAAAAAAAAAATCCATAAATCACAATGTACAGTATGATTTTTTAAATAATTTATTTGTGTGTTACTGCTGCAAATAAGTATTTGAACACTTGTGAAAAAGTAGCCTTTGTTTGCAGTTACAGAGGTCAAAGGTTTCCTGTAGTTTTTCACCAGGTTCACTGCAGCAGAGATTTTGTTCCATTCCTCCACACAGATCTTCTCTAGATCAGCAGGTTTCTGGGCTGTCACTGAGAAACACAGAGTTTGAGCTCCCTCCAAAGAGTTTCTATAGGGTTTAGGTCTGGAGACTGGCTAGTTCACTCCAGAACCTTGATATGCTTCTTACGGAGCCACTCCTTGGTTCTCCTGGCTGTGTGCTTTGGGTCATTGTCATGTTGGAAGAACCAGCCACGACCCATCTTCAATGCTCTAACTGAGGCGAGTGGAATTAAGACCAAAAAGTTCTATTCTGTTCTCATCTGAATTCATAACTTTCCCCCATGACTCCTCTGGATCATCCAAATGGTCATGGACAAACTTAAGACGGACTTGGACATGTGCTGATCCTTCCGTGCCATGCATGATTTTAAACTATGACGTCTTAGTGTATTACCCACAGTAACCATGGAAACAGTGGTGCCAGCTCTCTTCAGGTCATTGAGCAGCTCCTCCCGTGTAGTTCTGGGCTGATTCCTCACCTTTCTTAGGATCATTGAAATGCCATGAGGTGAGATCTTGCATGGAGCCCCAGTCCGAGGGAGATTGACAGTCGTGTTTAGCTTTTTCCATTTTCTAATAATTGCTCCAACAGTTGGTCTTTTTTCATCAAGCTGTTTGGCAATTGCCCCGTAACCCTTTCCAGCCTCGTGGAGGTCTACAATTTTGCCTCTGGTGTCTTTGGACAGCTCTTTGGTCTCAGCCATGTTAGTAGCTGGAGTCTTACTGATTGTGTGGGTGGACAGGTGTCTTTATGCAGCTAACGACCTCAAACAGGTGCTTCTAATTTAGAATAAGAAGTGGAGTGGAGGTGGACTTTTTAGAGGCGGACTAACAGGTCTTTGAGGGCCAGAACTGTTGCTGACTGGCAGCTGTTCAAAGACTTATTTGCAGCAGTAACACACAAATAAATTATTTTAAAAATTGTACATTGTGATTTCAGGATTTTTTTTTTTAGATTATGTCTCTCACAGTGGACCCCCTTGATTTTTTTTTTTGGGCGGGGGGGAGGGTTTGAGCTGATCACATGTTCTCCAGACAAATTCAGATAAGATGGCCTTCAAGGCCAGCCAGAGGAGCCAAATTCAGATAAACACACAGTTGTTTTGGGGACAGGCAGAACTTAATCTACCTTGAGTCCGTGTTGGTCTAAACAGTTCCAAAATGTCCAAATTACATGGCCACAACATGGAAACGTGCCTGAGTAAAGATCCCAGAGATCTGATCAATTCTGCCCAAAGCATTTGAGTCTGGGTATTCGAGGCACGAACCAAGCCATCATAAAGGCAAGCAGCGTGATCGGGTCCCAATTTGCTGCCAACGACTTCCTTGATTTTAGATAAAACCAGCAACCAGCCGAATCCAAAAAGCAGGAACCAGTTATCGTAAATCCAATTAAATATGCCTCCTTCAAATTCACAAATGGCAGCAAAGATAGACATCATCATGTCTTCAAGTCGATGAGATATCCAGCTGCGTGCGTGCCAACAGGGCAAATTGGCTTGCCTAAAGCCTGTCTTCTCTTCGAAGAAATTTTATCAATTGTGTTGAGGGACCAAATGATCAAATCAAGTCCATAATTATGGTTCGAAAGAAATGCAAGAGAGGCTCAGAAGCAGTTTCACAGACAAGACAGAGCAAAGCAAAGGTCTATGAAATTGTGTCTGGAAGAACCGTTATGGATGTTTGGAAATTTGGGGGTTAATGCATGACAACAATCCATTTTGCTCTTAGTTACACTCAGATTAGCCGTTAGCTCGTCAGTCCGGTCAGAACTGAACTATTTCTACCAACTGATTGTTTAAAGAGCTAGCTGCAGCAGCTAACAGTCAAAGTCAATAGTTTATAACTTTTACACAATCCCTGCTTAAAAAAAAACCTTTTAAAACCTTAGAATGACTTATGGAGTGTACACTTTACACACCGTTCTGTATTTCACATCAATTTCTTGTTAAATAAATAATGGCATGATGTTTTGCCGTTTTGTAATTACTTCATTTTTTAACATGATAAGGTTTGTGATGTTCCAACATATAAAACCTTAGAACAGGAAGGTGATGTCGTCACTTGACATGACCGAGCTGATCATGAAGTAAAATTACAAATGAAGCTTATAGGAGGAAGAAAACACTCAACCTTGTGTATCGATGAGCATCCGTAACGTTCCCAGGAGTTTGAACTGGACCGGAGGCATCTCTGATTGTAAAAACTTCAGTACTACGTCTGCCACCCCAGCAGACAGCATCTTGGATTTGTTGACCACTGCAGAGGCGTGACAGAAAGGCATATTTTACCAATGTTAAAACAGTTTAATTTCCTCCTGATATCTGTTAGTTTCCCACGATGCCACACAAAGAAGCGGTTTGTTTGAGAAGTGCCTTAAATTAACACACATCTTGTCAACTAACCAATCAAAAGCATGAAAGGTCATGACATCATCATTGCGGCTTTCCCAAAATGTTTAAAGGATTATTATTTTTAGTGTATGTAAACTTTTGACTTCAAAGTCAGACAGTGAGAAAAATGGGTGTCTTTTCACGCCGTGTATGTAAACATTTGGTTTCAACTGCATAAAGTTAGACTCAGGTGTTTGTTTATCTGAATGTCGTTATTATATGATTTTTCTCTTCTCTTTTTACAGCGAGCAGAGATTTGTTGTTTTATGCCGAATCCCCTTCCTGACACAACCAGGGATCAAATCTGATGTCTCAGAATTATGAGACTGTGGCATAGACCGCCGGGCTACCGTAGCACCTTTGTAGGTGATAGAAATACATTAGAGTACTGCATACTGCACATTATACGTAACTCGACAAATTATTATACAGCAATCTATAGCAAGGACAAGCAAATATGTTGTATACACTTTGACCTTGGTTTGGGCGGCTGTGGCTAAGTGGTTAGAGCAGTCCTCCTACGATGCAAGAGTTGGGGGTTCAAATCCACTAGCAGTCACATGCTGAAGGGTCTCTGGGCAAGATATTGAACCCCCCATTGCCTCTGATGTGTGGCCCATTAGTGTATGAATGTGATAAAGCTCTGATTAGTCTCTTTAGAATGATTTGTTCAATTAGCTTGTAGATGTATAGTAGAGTGCTGTATGGGTAATGGGTAAATGAGGACACAGATTGTAGTGCAAAGTGCTTTGAGTGTCTTGATAAGATAGAAAGGTGCTGTATAAGTACAGTCCATTTGTGACCTTGACCTTAGAGCTGAGGTATGAAAATGTATGGAACACTCCATCTAGTGATGATGCATATGTGTATGACATTTTGTTAAATTATCTTGAGTGGATCAGAAATTATGAGTGGGGCAAGGGAAAGTTTACAGACAGATGGAGGCTACCATAACAAATATGTCCTGCCTTCGATGGGAGTTTAAAAAGTAGAAGGTTCGTTGGACTGCAGCCAATGTCCCAGGATGTGGATGCAAGAAGAAAAGTGCCCATGTTCACGTTGATCAGACAGATGGTGGTAGGCCTGACACGATAAAAATTTTGCTGGGCAATTGTCTCAGAAATTATTGCGATAAACAATAGTATTGTTTTTGTCTTGTGATGGACTTGCGACCCGTCCAGGGTGTACCCCGCTCCTCGCACAGTGATTGCTGGACATAAGCACCGGCGACCCCCGTGACCCAAAATGGAAGAAGCGGGTAAAAGATAATGGATGGATGGATAGTGTTGTTTGAAATTTAACAATAATTAGTAATTGTCCAATTTTAGAAGAAACGTTGATTTGTTTTGAGTGTATTACCTTTCTTGACCATCATATGGCAGTATAAGACTGTTTGAACTGAAGGATGGATAGTTGAGCAGCTGTCACTTTAAGAAAAATGGGAGGGAGGGCCCTTGACGTGACATGGGCTGACATGGCGGACGCTCGGTGATTTGAGCTCTTTAGCATAGCATTTTTCACACAACGCTTTTAATAAAAAAAAAAATCAGTAAACAAGTTCTCAGCTTCTTTTTGCAAAGAAAAACAAGTTTTTACACAAAGGCACGGGTTTCAAACGTGAATTGTGGAGCTTCGACAAGACGGGGTTTTTTTTTCCCCAAGGTCGGCTTGCTAGCTTAGCTTCTCAGCTTAGCTGCTTTTAACGATCCAAAAACGTGATTTTGGACGATTAAAACAGATTTTAATGAGAAAAGAGAAAGGGAGGGGTCAGTGAACACCAGAGTTGAGCCGTGTCTTCAGTAGAAAGAGAGAGACACGAAGAAACGATAGTCGGTAAATGAAAATGAGGTTGATAATTTTCATTTATCATGCATTTAATTCATTTATTGTTTATCGCAACAGGCCTATATGGTGGGGGAAAAAAATTCAAGGTAACAATCCAGAAGCATTCAAGCTGAACATTAAGATCAAGGTAGGTCACATTCTGGTCACATCGCCCCTCTAATGGGTGATTTCATCAACACATCTTGAGCTCTCGCTGCTTTGTGAGTACAGCACTGACAAGGAGCAGGTAAAGGCCAAAACATGAAGCAAAACTCAGACAAGGTGCATTCTAGGGCTGAACGATTTTGGAAAATATTCTAATTGCGATTTTTTTACTTCAATATTGCGAATGTGATTTAATATGCGATTATTTTTCAATGTCTTCTTCTCATGTATTTTTCAATGAACACAAGCAATAAATCAATCGGTTTCAGTTGCAATAAACTACTGTTTTCAGCTCCGCTGCATCTGTTTCTGCATATTTGTATAGCTCCGCGATAGCAACTGGGCTAAAATGTGTGCGAGGACATTCTGTACCACTTATCCACTGTATTTACCAAAGCTGTAAACCCAGACTTGGTCACTATATTAATGAGCATCATGTCTTTCGTAATGAACTCAGTTACTGCTCGAGTTATTTCTGCGTACCGTTTTGAATTATGTTCATGCGGAGTAATACCTTCGAACAGTTCGGTCAGTGATCCCTGTCGGCTGCTAGTTTGCTTAATTGAAGTTGAAGCACTGGTCGTTGGCATTCTAGCCATGCAACTATCGTAAATGGCTTAGTGGTGTTTTTTAAGTGTTGATAAAGATTTGTGCAGCAATGCAGTTTCTGCACAATACATGTTGTTGCGCAACGTCTTCTTTTTTATAGTCAAAATAATTCCAAACAACAGACGTGCTGCCTCTCTTTGGTACCAAACGTTCAGATGCGTCAGCTTCTGTTGAACCTGACGCCACTGTGCAACCGGTTAAAGCGCAGTGTTGACTTCTCCCACTCCCTGCTCTGCTTTGATCCGCTCACTCGTAAGACACGTAACCAGATCACGTGACCAGTCAAACTGAAGTCTTTACGATTAGAAAATCTTGTTTTATCATATTGTGATATTATTGCAATTAACTGTTCAGCCCTAGTGTGTTTTAAATGAATGCAGACCTAAGGATGATCAGACTCACCAGGTATAGCCAGGTTCCTCAAGGCGCTCAGCGCTGCGTGTTGTACAGTGACGTTTCCTTCTTCAACGTGGCGATCCAACAGCTCCAGAAGCTTCTGAACAATACCAGTGTCCACCATATGGATGCAGTTCCCATCTAATCAAAGATACAAACTCATCCTGAGATGGTTACGAAGGCTGATGAATACATCTGTTACAAAGACCTCTGATTAGTTGGAATGAGACTTATTTTATAAACTACTACTTCAGTTATACAAACTGACTGTAAAATACTGTAGGCTGTTTAGTTTTTATATTTTTTTTAGAGAACAATAAAGAACATTGAAGAGCAGTCCTGTGTCAGTGGCCTGATTTTACTCGCACTTATTCATACTAGTGAAGAGACACAACGCCTAAGATTACACTCGCCACCGTTCACCCAGTTTTAGACTGAGTTCATCGTTTGAGGAGAAGGGATGGCATTGTAGCCGTTTTGACCAAATCTTGAAAATAACATTAAGTGCAGTCTGACGGGATAGAGCAAGACTATCAAGATTCTTTACTCAAACAATATCTACAGAATTGACTGATTTGTAACCAACATTTTGTCAGATCCTTCCTTTATTTTTTACACCAACACACAAAATAACAAGCGTGTCTTCAGTGTTTGTGTGAGACTTCTCTGCTCTTGCCTTCAATGGAGAAACAAACCTTACCATTGCGGGCAAAGTTAGCAATGGCCAGAGCGCCAGCTAGCTGCAGCTGGTGGTTGTGGGATGGTATCCAGGACAGAACCCTCTGGAAGACACTGCCCTTTCCTCCTTCGAACAGCTTCTGCATGGACTCGTCTGCACAGAAGGAGGAGGACAGTTTACAGCTGCTCCCAGCCACGCTGACTCATAGATACGTCACTATTAATTGGTTCAGTCTCATCAGATATTAACGATGTGACTAAAAACTCTTGTCTAAACTGCCCACAGAGCCCCTGAGTGTGTATTTACATCCCGCCATATTTAGGTTTATTCTGCTGCAATTAAAGATTTACATCAAGGGTATTAATTATTCATCAGAGCTGGACTGAGGGCTTTTCAGCTACATCACCAGAGACGGCAAAGAACTGGCTTGTGACAGGAAACAAACAGTCTGAAGCTCAACAGGTTGGTAAAACGCTTACATTTTCAATATCTTTCTGGTCTGTTCATTCAACCTTTATTTAGACAGGTAAATCCCATCTAAATGGATTCACAGATCAGAAAAATATTAAATTTTCAACATTTTTCTGGTCTGTGAATCCATCATATATTACACTGGCAGTAAAGATGAAAGTAAAATCTATTTTTAAATGCATCGCATCACAAACACGTAAGATTAATCAATGTTGTTAAGGAAAAGAGTCAGCAGTTGCTGCACTGTTCTGTGTGTCCTAGTAAAGTTGCCATAGCTTCCTGTAGTTAAAAATGTTGCAATAAAGCTGATTGTTCATTTTATTCACCAAGTGAGGAGAGTGTGACGGGAAGATGGAAGGAGTACTTTGAGGAGCTAATGAATGAAGAGAATGAAAGAGAAAGAAGAGTGGAGGTCATAGAAACTGTGGACCAGGAAGAGGGAAAGATTAGTGAGGGTGCAGTCCGGAAAGCTCTGAAAATAATGAAGAAGGCTGAAGCCAGTAGGACCTGAGGACATACCAGCGGAGGTTTGGAAACGTCTTGGAGAGATGGCAGTGAGATTTTTGACTCAAAGATTCAATGGCATATTTGAGGGTGAGAAAATGCCTCAGGAATGGAGAAGAAATGTGCTTGTGCCCATTTTTAAGAACAAGGGTGATGTACAGAGTTGTAACAACTACAGGGGAATTAAGTTGATGAGCCACAAAATGAAGATCTGGGAGAGTTGTGGAAGCAAGACTTAGACGAGAGGTGACTATCTGTGAGCAGCAGTATGGTTTCATGCCAAGAAAGAGCACCACAGATGCCATATTTGCTTTGAGGATACTGATGGAGAAGTACAAAGAGGGTCAGAAAAAACTTTATTGTGTCTTTGTGGATTTAGAAAAAGCATATGACAGGGTGCCGAGGGAGGAGGTGTGGTATTGCATGAGGAAATCTGGAGTGGCAGAGAAAAGTATGTTAGGCTGGTACAGGACATGTATGAGGACAGTGGTGAGATGTGTTGTAGGAGTGACAGATAGCTTCAAGATGGAGGTGGGATTGCATCAAGGATCGGCTCTGAGCCCCTTCTTGTTTGCTCTGATGATGGACTGACTACCAGATGAGGTCAGGCAGGAATCCCCATGGACGATGATGTTTGCAGACGACATTGTGATTGATCTGTGGTGAGAACAGGGAACAGGTGGAAGAGAACATGGAGAGGTGGAGGTATACACTTGAAAGAAGAGGAATGAAAGTCAGCCGTAGTAAGACAGAGTACATGTGTGTAAATGAGAGGGAGGAGGTGAAACAGTGAGGCTACAAGGAGCAGAGGTCACAAAGGTGCAGGACTTCGAGAACTTGGGGTCCACGGTCTAGGAAAATGGAGAGTGTGGTAAAGAAGTGAAAAAGAGAGTCCAGGCAGGATGGAGTGGACAAAGAAAAGTTTCAGGAGTTATTTGCGACAAAAGGGTGTCAGCCAGGGGTGTAACAATACATCAATTTAAATCAATATATTGATTAAATGATTAATGATTCAATTGTATTGTGGCAAAACTAAAATATCGATTAATATAGTCATCTTTAAAATATGCTTTTATTTTGAAATTCCCAAGGCACGTCTGTGTCACCATTTCCGTGCGTGGCTGCGCTCTGCAGCCACCTCAGCAACATGGCAGACGAGGCAGAAAACACAGATAATGAAATTCACTCTCCTGCTGGATTTAAAGAAACACTGTGGAAATAATTTGGATTCAGACAGAAGGACGGCTCAACAGACAAAACTCATGTCGTATGCAACAGGTGTCATTGTGAGTTAAAATACTCGGGGAAACAACAAATTTTGCCGTTCACCTGAAGAAGAAACAAAGCATTGATAGTCATGTTATGTAAGCTCAATATCTTTTTTTGTTTCTTTATAAGTGAATGGTAACCAGGACACTTTTAAGTTAACTGGTTTAAAAAATGCACTTAAACATGAAAAATGAGAGACTATACTGAACAGGTTATTTATTTTTTCATTCATTAAGAAAAAATTTACTTTTGTTTAAATGCCTGGTGCCTGTAATAGAAATAAAATGGTAAAATGTAAATGAAATGGGCATTTGATATTGCAATATATTGATCACAGACTTGTGAATCGAATCGAAATCGTATCGTGACAGACTTTGTGATATCGAGAAAAATCGAAGTATATGTCAGTTACATTCACAGACAGATTAATCTCACTCCCCTCTCATCTGAGGGTCATCAGAGTCTTTGCTTGGCTTAAGAGAGACATTTTGGTCACATATCTTACAAACAAGCATTAGGCATGATACATACTTCATACATGCCACAAAAACATGTCTCTTGTGAACCACGAGGGAACATTTGTATCAGTTTAATCAGACAGGACAAACAATCCAAACAGAATTCAGGTTCTGGTAATATTTCTAAAGCTGCCTCATCTGACAAGGTAATGGTTTGATCCTTGCAATTGTTTATCATCTCGGTGTCCAAAAACTTCTTTAAAATGTCTTCAGGTGATCCAAAATGCTGCTGCCAGAGTCTTAATGATCGTTGATAGGAGAGATCATATCTCTCCAGTTTTAGCTTCTCTCCATTGTCTGTCAAATTCAGAATTGAATTCAAAATTTTACTTCTAACCTACAAAGCTCTCAACAACCTAGCTCCATCTTTTATTACAGATCTTACTGTTCCACATTTCCCTAACAGAGCACTTCACTCTCAGACTGCAGGTTTACTTGTGGTCCCTATAGTTTCCAAAAGCAGAATGGGAGGCAAAACTTTCAGTTATCAGGCTCCTCTCTTGTGGAACCGACTTCCAGTTTCATCCGTGAGGCTGACACATTGTCCAGTTTTAAGACTGGACTTAAGTCTTTTCTTTTTGATAAATCCTATAGTTATTGCCGGCTTGGATTTCCTGAGCTATCCCTTAGTTATGCTGCTATAGGCTTGGACTGCTCTGTCCTCTCAAACCCAGCCGGTTGAAGCAGATGGCCACTCGTCCTGAGTTTGGTTCTGCTGGAGGTTTCTTCCTGTTAAAAGGGAGTTTTTCCTTCCCACTGTCTCCTTTGTGCTTGCTCAAGATGGGAGACTGCGATGAAGTGAAGATTCAACACAATCTGCTGCTTCCTTAGATAGAGAGCGTGACTAATTGGCTTTTAATATATATGAATGTTTCTGTTCAGTGTCCTGAGACGACTTCTGTTGTGGCTTGTAGATCCTGTATATAAATAAACTGAATTGATATAAACATCACTCTACAAACGTTTAACAAAGACTTAGCTAACTTCTGTAACTTCTTTCAATCTGCCGTCTCTGCTGCAGGAGTGGGTTGCAGCGGCGCTGATGAAAGAAAAGCTCTGCTTGCACAATCTGCCATGAATCTTTTTGCTGGTTTTCAGTGAAATAATTTCACACTTTGGAAAGTCTCCATTTTAGTAATGTGAATATTTCTACATCGTTCTCGGTATTAAGATCTGTTTTTCTTCCGTACATTTTTCAGCACATCACTCGTTCTGCAGTTTTTAAGATAAGATAAGATAAGATAGAACTTTATTGATCCCACAGGAAATTGTTGTGCCAGAGTTTCAGTACAAAAGAACATACACAAGGAATCACACAAGATATAAAAATAACAGAGAACATAAAAATGCCAACAATTAAGTTCTAAAACAGGTCAGGTGCAAACAGAAACATTAAAGTGTTTATTGTAGTACAGGATTAATTTTATTGTCCTATGTGCAGAAAGGGGGAGGAGTTGAAAAGTGTGATAGCCACAGGAAGGAAGGACTTCCTGTGTTGTTCTGTGGAGCACCTTGGTGGTCTCAGTCTGTGACTGAAGGTGCTGCGGTAAGAGTCCAGTGTGATTTTTGTTCCGTTTCAACAATTCATGTATCAAAATGTTCCTGCTGTGACTTTTGTAGTGAACTTAAGCTGATGTCACGACTAAGCCTAAGGTCAAAACCCTTGACCTTAAGAACCTTGTGGGACAGAAACTGTCATTTCATTGATTTGAATCCAAAGATACAGGTTCACCCATCCTGAGACTCTCTTTCTTGATAATCAAGTGAAAGAACACTCTCTTTTTTATTATCATTACTATTTTACAGATGTTGATAATCAAAGTGCCTTAGTTCAAACCATTTTAGATGTTGCAGTGAACTAATCAATTTTATTAACTGTGTAATGATTTTTAATTCTCATGCAAAGTTAGAATTTATGTTGAGGTCTGTTACAGATTTTTATGCATTTTCTGATTTCTGCCTTTGAATGAGCAAAGTGTGCGTTCCAGGGTCAGGAGTCGAAGCAGACATGCGTTGGAACAACTGTCCTGTTTATATCCTCTCAGACGTCAACAGGGGGGTTTTGGCACCTGTTTCTTAAACTCGCCAAAACAAAACTCTCTCTGTCTGTGAGAACATTTCTGATCTGTTCCATAACAATTCTTGCTGCATTCTAACCTTTTACGTCACAAAACACACCCCGTCTGGTCGGTTCTGGCCAATGGGAATACTCCCAGATGAACCGGGAAAAGAGCTCTTTAAAATGTCGGTACTTCCTGGTCTAATCAGTTCTGTGAGGGTTCTACTCGGTTCGGTTGAGTTCAGTTCTGTTCAGTTCTGTGCGGAGAAGCCCAGTTCTGGGAGCCGGGAAGATCCTGACATGACAACGGAGCTCTTCCGAGTTTCATGGGA